AGTGTAATAATAAAAATGCTTATTTAACTCAGGAGAAGGCAAAAACAAAGAAGGTAAGAATGAATAAAAAAGCAAGACTTCAAAACAAAGAATAACATCAGAGTTATAGAAACAAATAAACAAAATGATTTCTGTTACCCAAGAAAATAATAGTGCTAAATGTATGTAACAAATGATCATCAAAATATATGACATAAAAATGGAACTGGGCTGGACAAATTCACAACTACAGATAGAAATTTTCATACTTATCTCTTAGTAACTGATGGTAAAAGTAAGCAGAAAATCAGTAAGGATATGGAAGAACTGAAAACACTATCAACCAAGCTGGCTTAATTAAAATTTCTAGAACATTCCACCCAATAATAGAAAACTCATTTTCTTCAAGTGTATACATAATATTCAATAAGGGAAATTATGTTGTGGGCCATAATATAACCTAATAAAATTTAAAGAATAGAAATGATATAGTTTGTTCTTAGATCATAATGAAATTTAGCTAGAAATTAATAACAATGAAATTTTGAAAATCCCCCAATATTTGGAAATCAAACAAAAAATTGTAGACAATCCTTAAGTCAAAAAGGAAACCTCAGACAGAAATTAAATAATGTTTTAAAATGAATGAAATTAAAACATAACAATTCCAATTTTGTGGGATGCACTTAAACCACGTTTAGAGAGAAGTTTGTAGCATTAAATGCTTATATTAGAAAATAAGAAAGATCTCATATCAGTAAATTAAGTTTCCACTTTAATAAACTAGATAAAGAAGTGATAAAATTAAACCCAAAACAATTAGAAGGAAGGAGATAATAAAGATAGGTGGGTAAATCAATTAAATCAAAAGCAGAAAACAAGCAGAGATCAATGAAACTCAAAACTGGTTCTTAGAAAAGATACAAAACTGATTAGGGAAAAAATAAAGAGGACATAAACTACAGCATCACAAATGGAAAAGGAGCCCTCATTGCAAATACTAATAAGAGAAAATGACCAACTTAATGCCAATAAATTCAAGAATGCAGATGAAATAGAAAAAAATCCTTGAAAGTCACAAAATATTGAAGCTCAATCAAGAAGATATAGATAATCTGTTTAGCCCTGTATCTGTTAAACAAGTGGAATTCATAGTTCATCTTCTCACAAAGAAAAGCCCAGTCCCAAATGGTTAAATGGTGGATTCTAACACTCATTTAAGGAAGAAGGAATACAAATTTAGTACAATATCTTTCAGAAAAAAAAAAGAGGAGGGAACACTTCCCATTTTATTTTATGAAGCCAGCATTATGCTAATATCAAAACCTAACAAAGACAGCACAAAAAAAGGAAAACTGAAGCCCATGTCCCCCACTAACAGAGACACAAATATCTTCAGCAAAATATTAGAAAAACAAATCCAGCAATACATGAAAAGAATAAGACATTACAACCAAGTAAAGTTTATCTTAGGAGTTCAAGTCTGGTTCAACATTAAAAAATGAATCAGTATAATTTACCTTAGTAACATGCTATAAAGAAAAAAGCTTATTATTTTTTTTATAGATGCAGGAAAATCATTGAACAAAATCAAATTCATGATTTTTAAAAAAATTTTTGACAAAATTAGCAATACAGGGACAATTCCTCAGTTTGTTAAGGACACCTACAAAAACCCTACAGATGACATACTAAGGTCAAGAAACAGTAAAGGATCTCTGTTTTTATAATTTCTATGCAACATTTACCATACTGCAAGTTCCAAGAACAAACAAGGCTCCTAGAACTAATCAGTAATTTTTAGCAAGGATACAGGATACAAGAGCAACAAAATCAAATGTCAAACTAATTCTAAAATTGACCGAAACAAAGGACCTAAAATGGTCAATATAACCCTGACAAAGAAAACCAAAGTTGGTGGTCTAAACTATCTCATTTCAAGAATTATTATAAATCTGTGGTCATCAAATCACATGATGTTGGCATAAAAATAAACAAATAGTTCAATGGAACAGACTTGGAGAATCAAGAACCAGACCTACATTAAATGTGATAAATTGATTTTTTTACAAAGTTGCAAAAATAAATCAATGGAATAAAAACAGTCAACTCAATAAGTGGCATCAGAGCAAATGGAATCCATATGCAGGAAAGTGAACCATGACATATACTTTACAACTTTTACAGATTAACTTAAAATGAATGATGCATCTAAATATAAAATGTAAAATCATAAAAATTTTAGGAAAAACAGGAGAAATTTTTCAGAATCATAGGGAGGTGAGGTGTTCTTAGATTTGACAATGAGAGAGCATGATCCATAAAAGAAAAAATGGTGTTTTTATTCCATAAAAAAATTGAAATTCCAGTTTTACCAAAGATACTATAAAGAATGTGAAAAGACTACAGAGTAGTAGAAAATATTTGTGAATTACATACCGAACAAATAACTTGTATCCAGAGACAATACAAGTAAAGCCCTTAGCATAGTGCCCAACAGCTATAAACAGTCAATAAGTATGAACTATTATAAGTTTGTTATGATTGTTATAGAATTCTTTAAACATGAGAAAATAGAAGTAAATCAAATTTTGTCAATTGGGAAATATAAGTTATGATAATACATTTATCACAAGGCAATGGTCTAAAAGAAAAACAAAGTAAACATATATGTGCTAACCTGGAAAAAATATCCAGAATTGTTGTGAAGAAAGCAAACTGCAGGACAATTACCATAAAGTGATCCATTTGTGCAAAATAGTTACATATTTTCTGGAAAATTTTCTAGCATGATACTACACTGCTAACAGCTGTTATCCCCGGGGAGGGGAGTGGAATAAGAAGGGGTGCAAAGGGAAGATAGGATGGTGGAAGAGGGGACTTTCTCTTTGTGCTTATTCCTATATTGTTTGAATTTTTACTGTAGGAATAAATCTCTCTATTACTTGTAAAACAAAAATTACAAAAGAAAAAATTCAACTAACTTTTAAAAAATCAGTAAGCAAGAATAACTTTCTGGTTGCCTTGGCTAATGGAATGAAGTGGATGAAGTACAAGCTTAGATTGAACTAACCATTTTGCCTAAACACAGACTGAGCTTGCATTTGTGGTACTGATGCAGTGCTGCTTGCTGACCTGCCAATACAAAGAACTGAATTATTGTCCTGGTTGTGCCACTAGCTTTGGTTGGTATTGTGTTAAACATGTTAGATTATGAACTTCTTGAGGACTAGGATCAAGTCTTATTTCTCTGTCTTCCCAGCACAAAACCTCTAAAGAGTTGGTGCCCAGTTCATGGGAGGAAGGAGAAACTAGTTGTGACAGGAGCTTAATTAAAGCCTTTAAAGCCTTAGTGAATAACAGCTCTGCCTAGGCCCGTGGAAGTGACACACGATCGACATCTAGTGGCTAAAAGGGTTCCTGCAGACTTTAATGATAGAGGAAATCGACTTTTCTTTTTGAGGTGTGTTTCAGAGACCCATGCTCTAAAAACATCGAAAAAGTAGCGCATGAGAGTAGAAATAGGTTTTATTCTCTTGTTTCCTTTTAGTGTTAATGAGACTTTAAGCAACTGCACAGTTAGGGAAGCAGCTGGATGAGGTAAAGCAGTGAGATATAAGCCTTGCTCTTATGGACTCTTGGACTCAAAAAGAATGATGCAGGGACATACTTGTGGCTAATCAGAGAAACGTTACTGCTTATCTATCTACCTTGTCTATATGCTAAGTAGAACAACATTCTCCTAAAATGTTGCTTATAGGTGCAAACAACAAAAATCTTTTCAAAGACACCAAAGAGTGAGGAGTCTTTCCCAGGGTGAATGGAGAAAGAGTCTGTGAAAAATTGTACTTCAGGAAAAGATCCTGTCACAAATTCTAGAAGTATTCATACATTACCTAAGTTTTCTTTGTGATCTTGTCTCTTCAATTTCCATACAATGTGTGCTCTTAAATGTGGGAATGAAAAATATTGCTGAGGTAAGGGACAGCTGTTTGAGAGCTATAGACAAGAGCACCAGGCTGAACAGGCATTTGGCCCTGGTTACGTCAGATCGGTGCTGGCATGGGTGGATTTGTTCCCACCCCAGTGTTCTACAGTTGCCAAGAAATTAGAAATTATGAATAAGATGGATCCATCAGGCTACTCCCAACCAAAAACTTTTTAAAGCTCTAATATCTATTTATATGCTGCTCCCAGAGGACTGAAGTGTTTCTTCCTAGTTGCTTGAAGAACAAGCTCAGTAGCAATCAGGTCTTTAAGCAGAATGTTTTTAAGACCTTATCCTGAGTTCTCAGGATGAGCTGTTAGTAGCATAATTAAAGACGGTAATAGGATGTGTAGGAAGATGTGCTCTTCCAAGTGTCCCTTATTTCATAATAGTAAAAGTCAATCATTCCTGCTGGACGAGAAAAATGCGGTGTCAGCATAAAAAAAAAAAAAAAAAAAGCTGAGAAGCGACACGAAGAGAAATGAGTTCATACTATGTAGAAGACTGTAGACAGGCATGTCCCTAGTGATAACTAAATGAGAGATGGCTCCTTAGAGTCCAAGGGTAATGCAGGAGCCTCCCTGCCTGCTGTATCCAGGCAGGTTTCCTCTTGCTGTCCACTTCCCTATCCCTTGCCCTGTTCCCTTCGCTGGGCAATGGGAATCAGATCCACTTCCCGCCAGAGGCAGGAGCACTCATGGAGATGTCTCCCTGGTCTCTCTAGCACCCGGACTTGTGCCTGAGGCTTCAGCCCCAACCCACCTCCCTCTGCCAGGGTCAGCAACTGTCCAAAGCCGCTGAAACCCACAAGCAAGAGCCACCGGGATCTGCCCCGCTGCAGGGCACAGCCGCGACGCTGGCTCGACGTGCAATTTCGCTTTCCGTCGATCGGCCTCGCCTGCAGACAGGGCTCTGGGAGCGGCTGCATTTGGAGCGCCCAGAGCCCTGGGGCTCCCCGTGGCCTTGGCGCGGCCACTGCACGGGCAAGGGTAGCAGGACACGAAGGCCAGGGGTGCATAGCGCCCCTACTCACGTAGCGCTGCAGCTTCCTCTCGGGGGGCGACTTGACCAGCCAGCCGGTGCACACGGCGTCGCCCGTGCTCATCGTGGCCGCTGCCGCCGCCGCTTCCTCCAGCTGGGCCGGCCGCCTGCAGCAGGAGGAAGTCGGGCCAGGGATGCTGGCGGGGCGGGCCCAAAGCCCGCCCGCCCAGCGCCGCTCCAAGAGGCCGCTGCGACCCCCACCTCCGGCCACCAAGGCCCCCGGGGAAGGGACAGGAGCAGTTGCACGCAGTCTTAGACGGCGGGAAAAAGCAAGCAACGAAGTCGAGAAAGCCCCTTCGAGCAAGTGCTGTGACTGGGGACCCTGGGCAGGGCGCCTTGGCGCTCTCAGGGGCCCAAAGAACTGTGCTAATGGCAGAGCCCAAGCCCAGAGTAGCAAGGGCCACGGAAGAGCGCCCACCGAAAGAACTCTGTGATCCAACGGGAGCACAGCATGTGGAACTTATTGCCTTCATCCGCATCCCCAATCAACCACGTCAACAAGGGCTGGTCTCTGGGCCTCTTGGGGCACCAGAGCAGAAACCTATGACCCACTTCTGCCATGCATATAGTTCAGAGAGGAAGAAAAAAAGGACTCCTCTGTGACTTCCCTGTCCACTTGATTATTTGCAGAATACTGTGTTTTTTATGCTGCTCCTAAAGATCAATGATAACCTCAGCTGGCAAAACTGTTTAAATGTCTTAATGAACCCAAATGATCCAAATTCAAAAGTTAGTGAGTACTATTAGCAATTTCTTTGACTCTAAGATTTAAAAAGATGAATCTAAAGTTAATTGTACCAGGAAGTATGGTAAGAACTCTAAATGATAATGATAACAATAAAAAGACCTGATATTTATTGTGACATTTGTCAGTGCCAAGCTAACAATATGCCATTTATGGTCCTAAGCACTTTACAAGCATCACCTCATTGGATCTGCACAAACATCCTATCCAATGGGCCATGTGGTTATCTCAATTTTTTCAGGTAAGTAAACGAGAAATAGGGTAATAATATCATTTGTTCAGAGCCACACAACTGAGAAATTATTCATAGGTAGTCACAGCTGTTTGTCTCAAGAACCTCCTGCCAAGCACCACTCTCCACTCTTTGGGAACATACTTTATAACTGAAAAGCACCATATCAAAGTTAGAACCAGGGGCTGGGATTGTGGTTCAGCAGTAGACCGCTGGTCTAGCATGCGCGGGACCCACGTTCGATCCTCAGCACCACATAAAAATAAAGGCATTGTGTTGTGTCCATCTACACCTAAAAAAATAAATATTTTTTTAAAAAGTTAGAACCAGTATCCATGATGTGGTAACCATCTCTGTGATGCTTGCTGGCATCTGGCCAGCTCCCTGTTCTACAATGCTCTTTTCACTGGGTATAATGCTTCTCACTTGGAAGTGACACTTGGAAAAAACAAATGATTTACAAAGAGAATTCTTAACCTGATACCCTACATATAATCAGAATTTCCAGGGAGAAATGTCTATTTTTTTTTTTTAAAAAATTATACCTTTATTTAATTAATTTATTTTTATGTGGTGCTGAGGATGGAACCCAGAGCCTCACACATGTGAGACAGGGGGTGTTCTACCACCAAACCACAACTCCAGCCCCCAAGAGATGACTATTTTGTATGGCAGGGTTCATTTTGCTTCTATAATCAGTCAGGGATAAGAGAGGGAAGAGAATTTAGATGTTGCAAGCAGGAGGGGATTTATTTTACAGAGGTAGGTACTTAGAAAATCGTTGGCAGTGCAGGAGCAATGAGATCGGGGGTGCATCAGAGTTTGGACTTTAAGGCACACCACAGGAGCTGCAAAGCAGAGGCTTGGAAACAATTTCTGGCACAAAGCTGGCTCCAGCTGCTGCCAACACTCACATCTCAGAGCCCGCTTATATTCTCACCACCACTGCAACCATCTGCATCCTCTCTGCATTCTAAATCTCACACCAGCTAATCTGACCAGCCAAACCTAATTGACATCCAGAATCTAGATTAGAGAGAGCATTAAACACCTTTTTAGCTTTTCCACCTCTCCAATATAATGAGTGTGAAATGGAAGTTGAGACACACAGAACACCACCTCCCTAGCTACTCAATATCCACACAGACTTGTACACAAAACAAAAAGGTTATACCAGTGTCTAGAAGAGAGTGGTTCCCCTCCTAGTTCAAGTACCACCCTACATCAGTATCTTATAACCTAAAGAAAAATGATAAAGCTAACCCCTATCAACATTTATTTCATACATACAAAAAATATAAAGAGGAAGATGGAAAATGTTCTGTGGGAGGGGCTACTACAATTCTCATTTCTGTGTCTGGTCATGAGACCATAATTGGTATTTATAACTTCCTTCTTCCAATATTCTACTGTTACTCTCCTCAAGAGGTCACAAGTCTTTGCTTAGTAAGTGACCCAAACCAGTATTCCTAATAAGTATGGATCTTCAGTGGTGCTGCTTAGTCATGGAAATATTAGTAAGTGCCCCAGAGAATCTCTTGTATTGAAAATACAGACTACCTGACCCCATTATTTAACAATAACTGTATTTCCACTTGATAATAAAGATCAATCATCTGAGCCAATTCAGTAGGATCTATGGTTTGCCAGTTGGTTCAATGGCATAACAAATGCCAAATGGGGCTGTGGGCTGGGGATTATTGCTCATTGGTGGAGCACTTGCCTAGTATGCAAACATCCTGGGTTCAATCAGAATGATAGTTTTTCTCACTGCCAGAAAGAAAGAAAAGGAAAGAAAGAAAGAAGAAAGAAAGAAAGAAAGAAAAGCATTCCATATGATTGGATGGCAGTCTCAAGCAACTTGCAATGGGATAAAACCAATGTTGCACCATTGGTGCTTCCCGGTAATAAGATACATTGTAACACCAGTTTTGCTGGTGAACATGAGCACACTGACATGTGTCTTTTTCCTTAGGATGGTTTCCTTGGTCAGAATGCTATTATGTGAGATATTGCACATACAAATAGGGGTTCAGGAACTCCATGGGGGAGAATAAGCAGAAATGTGGGTTCAAAAAAATCCATGAACAAAATAAATGCCTATTTGAGGGAAAAAAATGCTGCTCCTTCTAAATGGATTTCATCAGTCTGCCACCAGGTGCCTGGCTGGTCCCTCCAGAGAATGCTGCCATAACTGGGACTCTTTGTTGGTCTCAGTTTGGGGCAGGTTGAACTCTTAGAAGTAACTGTAGCCATATCAAATGCAGTAAATCCTTGGGAGCTTCACTGTTCATTACTGATTCACAGCCTTGCTCACACCTTTATAAAGGCACTCCAGCCTGGGAAGAGGAGAGAATTTTAAGGCTGGGGATGTACCCCAGTGGTAGAGCGCTTGCTTAACATGCATAATTCTCTTGTTTGATAAAAAAAAAAAGAGAAAGAAAATAAAAGGTTTTGTTTGGCAGTTCATTTAGTATTATAAATCTTATAACTACAAGGATTTGTGGAAATAAACGTTCACTCTTACAGAAGAATTTCTATTTCAACTATGTCATAATGGGCATGAAGTATGCATCTAAATTATATGTTACAAAAAGAAAAGAAATTTGAAAAGAAAATTTTGAATCATGGAGAGATATAAGGAAACAGCTATACTTGTGTGTACGGAGTGCGATAATAATATCAGGGTACTGGGCTTTCTTTATCTCCCACTTCCTATCCACCTCTTGTTTTAATAAATCTATAAAGCCTGGAGTGTCATGGTAAAAATTCAGAAAGGGGAACTCTCTTTCTTCTATTCAGGCATCTATAAAATCTCTCTCTGAGAGTGAAATCCACCTAGATTCCATCTGAAGTATGATATTTGGCTTTATTATTGTGAATGATAGTATTTCTCACTTCTTATGAGAAAATACTGATATCATATCCATTATTGTTATATACACACACACACACACTCCAGGGATTAAGCCAAAAGGGCACTTAACACTGAGCCATATCCCCATCCATCCACTATTGTTATATTTTAAATCACATGAAACTGTTGTCACAAGCCCAAATCAAATACTTTTCAACTCATTCTGTGAAGCCTGTATTATTCTGATACCCAAACCAGAAAAAGACAGTTTTTTGAAAAAAATGAAATGAAAACTGAGACTGGTATGCCTTGTGACTATAGACACAAAAAATTTTAGCAAAATACTAGCAAAAGGAACTCAAAAAACATAAAAAGAATTGTATACCATGTCAAAGTGGGGTTTACCCCAGACATGTCAAGGTCATTCAATATATGAAATACAATCAATGCAAGTCACTACATTAAAAGTTAAGAGAAAAAAGTCTTCTTTTATTGTATCATTTAATACAGAACGAGCATTTGACAGAATCCAACACCCATTAATGAGAAAAAAATTCAACAAACCATTAAAGAATATCTACAGGATGTTCTTTAGCTAACATCATATTTCATGGTGAGAAATTGCATACTGTTTCATTAACATTGTGAGCCTAGAGAGGATATCCACTCTTTTTTTGTGTGTGTGTGGTACCAGGGCTTTGACCCCAGGGGTGCTTAACCACTAACCTACATCCCCAGTGCTTTTTATATTTTATTTACAGGTAGGGTCTCCCTAAGTTGCTTAGGACCTCACTAAGTTGCTAAGACTGGCTTTGAACTCACAGTCCTCCTGCCTCAGCCTCCCCAGCTGCTAGGATTACAACCATGAACCACTGTGCCCAGCTCACTCTTAACACTGTTATTCAACACAGTATTGGAAATTAGGTAGAACAAAAGAAATTAAAAATAGGTAGAAAGGAGACATAAAGGTAAGAATAGAAAATAAATTTTTAATTAAAAAATCCCACATCCTTTTTCATACCTGTCACTCCCTAAGCCAGTCTTTCTCCCAGGCTTGTCATTTCCAAAGTCATAGAAAATCTGTAATTCTATCTGTTCACTATTAATTAACCCACAAATAAACAGATTAAAGAGAGAGATGATATCTTGAGGAACCTATAATTTAGAGGACTTTCCAGCACTATCCATTGATCAGATAATAAAGATGATGTCAAGCTAAGGATCCTGAGATTGACTAGACCATCATAAATCATT